GCTGATCCTAAAATCCAATTTGAATCTAATCACAAAGAATCTGGTACTGCATTGGATTTGCAAATGAAATAATGCAGGTTGCCAGATGATCTGTTAACCCTTCATGCAGCCTGCAGGTTGTCATGCCATCTCTTGATCCTTGTTACAGCTGTCCCTCTAGCTTAAATCAATTGCACAATCTCCTTGAAATCAATTTGTCTGAACAATTGAATGTTAGGTGCAAGGGTAGAGACTCGGATCATTTCAGAAAGAAAAGTGCAACCCCCTGGTCATGCTTCTTCTTTCCCATTCCTCCTTCACTCCTGTTTTCAGCAATGGGCCGCTACACAGCTCTTGAAACAGCCACTTCAAACAGCACATCAAAAAACAACCAAAAAAACTGCTAAAATGTGCTGCAGTGCAGCATAGTGGGCCCTGTTTTGTGGCCTGCAGGCGCAACCCCAGTACAGTCATGGTGGCATTCCGCTGTGCTACGCTAACTGTTAGCGGAATTCTGCTATGTTACGCTGTGCTAAAACTGCGGCTGGTGTATTGGCCCATTGTTGCTGTTTTCATTCTGGTCTTTTTATATTATGGCTATCATTGACTGGTGTAATACTTTAGTCTATGAGTATGGATCCTAGGTGATGGCTTCCAATCAAGAACTCTTTTCTCTAACCTTGTCTTCTTTTGCATCAATGAATTCTAACTATTTCCACATTGGACATTCATTATTTCTTCACATGTGAATTGTAAATTGAAATCCTTGGGTTTGGTCTGTTTGAGCTATACTGTTACTACTACAAGGAATAAACATCCATTCAATTTGATTTTTGACTCAGGAGTGCCCCTCCTCTTTAGATTATGAAAGTTATCTTGAATACACAAGATGTTTTGTATTTTCTTTCCAGGCTCTTTAATTTCAGCAGTCAAGTCATGCTATGGACAGGGATCCTTCATGTTGAATTCATATCATCTGTGGGGAGGTATGGTCTCATAGGTCCAGTTTGCCAGCAGTCCATCATTTTGGTGTACAGTTTTTCCATAGGTTGGAAGGGACTGTTTCCATGTATTGTACAGGAAAGGCAAGCTCAGATTTATGACAAAGAGAGTGAGGACTTGATATGTGGTTTATTTCAGGGTAAGTAGTGACTCTGGAGGTAACCAAGAACAGGGTGTGCGGTGTAGAACAACATCATTAAAGGTGGCCCAATCAAAATACAAACTCTGGGAAATTTGTCAATGAGTGAATGTGAAAATAATGGTTACAAAAGAAAACACTACACAACTTGAGAGCAAGTTATAGGAAGCAGAGAGAAAAGATACAATGGATGTCATTCCAGACGTGTGAAGGATTAGATATGCCTAACTCCGGGGCAGGATACACTGTTTATCGAATGAAATGAGTGTGATGTGAAAGAAATGGACTGGGGTGAATTATTTCTCAGAGCACGATGATTGAATAGCCGCATGAAAAGAGCGGAATGAGATAACTGGAAGTTTTTATAGTGATTATGGATAACTTCAAGCAGGGTATATTTCCAGTGACGGGGTAGATTACCTTGCGTAAAGAGCAAGCGCTACTTAAAAGCTTGACAACGGGATTATTCCAAAGAGTGTAAAGAAGAGTAGATATGTATAAACTGATCGGGGGCCTCTCGATGTGGTTATACTTGTGGAGGAGGTATTTGATTGCTATCTTCAGTCCGTGAAGAGTAGTTAGTGTGGCTGCTGAGCGTAGGTGTCCGAGAGCCGCGTCGCGCGAACTGTTGGGGGCGATATGTGAGTGTTGGGCTGGGAGACATCCTGATGGTAGACATTGAGAGGTGGCCGACCGGGATGGGTTGTATTACAGGAGAATTCTTGATCCACTTAGGATTCCATTCATTGAAGTCGAATTTAGACAATCGGTCGATGTTGGGCAGACAAACGCTTTCAGGCAATGTCAAAGTGCGATCCTCGATGTTGCTTGTGTTCAAATTGTTTGCTTCGGCTGGAGTACTCTGAACAGAACTCCTCAGTGTGGTGTGATCGGCTAAAGAGCAGTTGGAAAAACTACCAAAACGAGTCGCTCGCGGGGTAGGAGGCGCAAACGGATCGTCAGAATAGCTCTGGCGCCGGTTGGGGAGTTGATCTTCTCCTTCTTCCTGGCTGCATGGAGGGCAAAATCATCAGCAAGATTGGCCGCACTCATGAGGAACGCCGCGACTTACATTATCAAACTGAGAATTGAGCTAATATCATTTAATTTCGTGCGTGGGTTGGCGGCGAGAATCGGTGACGTACATGGAATGGTTGAGGGGGATGCTTGCATGGATGGAGAAGGTTCGGAGGACTTCAAGGTACAAAAGTTGATAACACTAGTGACGCTACACCAAGACAGGATTGAAGAGCGGGATCTCATTCCAGATTTGTTGCTGTCCGTAGTTCTAGTCCGTCTGGGAGTTGGCGCGGCTTGTGGTAGTTTTGGCTCAATTTCTTTCGTCGCCGAAACCACCTCTGAGTCTGAGCAGCTGGAAATATCGTTATCTGCGGGCTGTTCGACTTTGGACGTTTCTAGCTTTCGACTTCGCCCGAGGCAGCATGGTAGGAGGAACATTGTAGGGGCTGGGTTTGAAATGATGAGATTGAGATGGATTTGGATTCAGGCCTGCTGAGTTGATTGAGATTCAAAATGATCAAAGATAAGAATTAAATTTCGGTTTGGATGGTTAAACTTTTTAGCATCATAAGAAAGTGAGTGGTCCTATTGCAGCCAGGAGAGGAATGGAAAGGGAAATGTGCACATACGGTGTCAGTCTATAAATGCCTTCCTGATAATGAGTGAGAATTCGAGCAGAAGGCTCGATACTATGTGGGTGGGTATCTTGTAGATGTGTGCTCAACAGGCAGCAATACAAGAATATATATGCCTCAGAATACTCCCTCGATAAATGTGGGTGAGAATTAAAGAGCACCCTGGAGTTAAATCACGAAGCGACGGCGAATTAACTTGATCTTGGGTAAAACGAAAGGGTAGGATACATGCTATCTGGTCTCGGTTGGTCCAATGTCTACGATGTATCGAAGTTCCGCCGGTGGGAGAGAAACAGTGAGGCGTTACGAGTTGTCAGTCTTCGAAGAGCTTCAAAGACAGAACCTCAACCTTAACACCGTCTGGATATGGGGAATTTTGCCTCTGGCCCGTGTCTGATCGATTTGGTAGATGTATGTGCATGCAAGTAGCAGGTGGCCGTACGGCATCCCTTGCAGTGGATCAAGCTGAAGGAGCTAAATCGGATTTGGTGTTTTCCTTCATTACACAGTCTTGATCGGACGCCCAAGTCCCAGGCTTCAGCGGGAGGGAAAGCCGGCCAGTGCGGGTTAGTGCTCTCAGCTTTCTTGGGGGAACGAACGCGTCAAGATTAGGCTAGTGTTAAACTGGAGTGTATCCAAAGCTCTCAAAGTCCATTCTGCTTGTGGCATCAGCTTCCTGATGTGTGTGTGTAGTTCAGGGCTGTTCAGGGAGTCCATGGTACCAGAATTCACGATTCAAATCCGCCAAGCTCCTGAACATGGATCTTTATCCTAGCTGAATCAGTGCACTATTGCCCACCTGTGAACTTGAGGCTTGATAGCTGTTGCCTTTTTAAGACATCAATCTACACGCTTGTGTGCTGTCAGATGCTTGGAAATCCCGTTCCTATTTACATATCAGCTACCATATCAAACAAATGGCTCATGGTCTTCCGAGCAGTCAGAGTCTCCCTGGGCGCCACAGCTCTGTTGTCCTGTTAAGAAACTTGGGCCGTTACGTGCATACATACAAGCTAACGCCATCCTCAAGGATCACAGAAAAACTCACAAAATTACAAGCCGGGGGTAATTGACGAGAAAGATCTTCTCCGTCGGTGCATTCGATCGAGTCAGGCCAATCGCCCAAACTTGGCTTTTCACCGCCCCGAACCAAGCATGCCGATTGCCGCCTCCTCGAATCTCGGCCCTGGGTTTCTGTCAAGGGAGACTCATGAGAAATGGGTTTAGGCACCGCCATGTACCCGCCGGACAATGGAACTCTACACAAGTCAACGCAACTCTTCCCGGGGCGTTGTGTATGCGAGTGGCCAGGAGTGGCCCATCCCTGCATTTGCATGGCGCCAACCGCTCCGAGGTCCGGGGCTCTCATTCTGATCAGTAGCCAAAAGGCAAGGCTAAGATAATTTCACTACTGAGGCCACACTTATTTACAATTCAAGTCCCCTAGTATCAATTATATTCAGAAACAGAAGCTTGGCCGTTGACCAAATTGGCCGGTGCATTGCCAGTTTTGGGCCTCAAGAAATCAAAAGGTTTTGTGACTCATCTGTCACCTCCCTTGGTGGAAAGGCACATGTTTTGTACCTGCAGCCAGCTTTTCTTTATCGGTCCTTTCTCAAATTTTACAAATGGAAAACATTTTGTATTGAATTGTCTGTTAACTTTTGTTCAGCATCTTGTGGTCACAAGGAACTTGAAGCCAGCTTGTATTTTTTCAATTTAACCAAAACTGTTAGCCTGTGTGTTGAAGTTGACTTACAATGTTTCAGTGTTCCTGATTCAGAGCTCTTAAGTGTAAAGCTCAATCTAGAGTACCTGATCTTCTGGGGAATTCTGGTCAAGCTCAAGTAAAAACAGAAGTCATGCGAGTGAAGAAAGGGGACAGATGAGCAAAAAAAGGCAATTGTGATCTAGCCCCAAAGAAGACATGGAGGTGAAGACCGATCAAGAGGGTCTGCAACAAGGGAGAGTGTTTTCTGGGTTTGTATAATCATAAGCTGGGGCTGGGGTTGTCCTAAAGAGAACGAGTTGAGTGGCCTACAGTTAAGTTACGCTACATGAAGCTATGCTCCGGATAAGCTAGTTTACCCCGGATAGTTAAAACCAGGCGGTGCACACTCCACACATGGCCTGACTGCTTCAAGGCTCAACCACCACCACCCCAACAAGCCGAAGCTCACCAGAAACCCAAGAATCAACACCATCATGGGCTCAACAGCGGCAAACAACCCACTCGATAACATCGACCTCACCCAGCCTGAAGCCAACCAGGATGAACAGGATCCCAACTCAGAAGAGCAGTCCTCAACAGAACTCCAACAGGAAACTCTCCGGAATGAGAAGGCAACTCTCGAAGCTCAGTATGGCGCCCTACTGGCAAAACTCACCACGATGCGAACCACACTGGGAGACAAACTGCGTCAGGATGCTGTCAGTCCCCTTATCACACATACGAAAAAAAAAACTCAAAAAGTGTTTCGATTGAATGGTCTGATTCATTCTTCACGTTGCACTTTCTGTAGGATGAGCTAGACAGAAGAGAACAACAGATCTGTCAACTCCAAGCCCAGAACGAAGAGCTCATCCTGACCACTGAAAACTTGAAGACCGAGCTGATTTCATCTAATGAAGAAACCGAACGATTGCATGACGAACTGGGTCAGATTCGCTCGAGGATGCTGGATCATCAGAGACAGCTGGACTCGGAAAGTTATGAGCGGGAGGAAGCCTACCGAGAGAGTCAGGATGAAATCGAACGTCTCAGGAACCAGCTCGAGGATAGCAAACGGGAGATCATGAACGAGGCCGTCAAGCGTGAACAAGCCGATTCAGGATCCAGAGAACGGGATAACATTATTGCTGAACTGAAAAGAGAACTCGAGTTCGTCAAAGAAGATCGGGATCTGCAAGCTAGGAGTGCCAGCAACCTTCAATCAGTATTGGAAGAATTCCAGTCAGGTAACTATTTTATTTATTTATTTTGGACTATGCTTGAAAGTTGGGAATTGAGCCAATTATCACCCCTGTCAACTTGCTCGAAATAGCCAAAGAATCTGAAATCCAATCGGTCGTTGGGGATACCCAAGCTCGGCTTGTGGAGGCAGAAACAAGGCTGCTAGTTTCCGAACAAAAAGCAAAAGACGCTGAAGTGAGCTCCCCCTCCTGTTAAGCAATGCCCCTCCTGCCATCGCAATCTGACTTCTCACATCTATGCAGGCTAAACTAGCGGCCAGCGAGTCAGGTGCAGCACAATGCGAATCACTCAAAAAAGAAATCAAGGAGAAGAACCTGCTTGTTGGCAAGCTTCGACATGAAGGTCAGTTGCAAGTCCCGATTCATCTTCCCCTATCATATGCTCATATTGTGTACATCTTCATCCCTTCTAGCGGTCATACTCAACGAGCATCTCACCGAGGCTCTACGTCGACTGAGGAAAGACAGCACAGAGTACAGTGTTGATCGGTTAGTCTCAACTTTTTTTTATCACCCCATTCTACAAATCTAATTAGCTGATGATCCTGACAACACATATCTCAATTTGATGGATGGGCTTCATTTTAAAGACGACTGGTTACCAACGTCTTGATTTCATTCATTCTGACGCCAAGAGAAGACACCAAAAGATTCGAGATGCTGTCATTACTGTCGAGCATATTATCCTGGAACGAAGACCAACGAGAGCAAGTTGGCCTCCAACGCTCGAGCTCATCGGCCCAGAAAGCCGGCCGTCAGAACCCAGGCTCCAATTCGCCCGCCACTGCCAGCCGGGATACGTTGGGAGACAACGACACGATCACCGACCAATGGGTCTCCTTCTTGCTCCGCGAAGCCAATTCCGCCAGTCCTACTGCTACCCGCTCCCTCTCTAATCTCTCCCTTACCTCCCCTTCTACAATCAGTAATCCTAACAAGTCTCCTATCTCCACCCGCATCTCCCCCGATGGCGTCAAATTGCCTTCGTCACCTGGCTCTACTCTATCCACTCTATCCACACTCACTCGGCCAACTTCTGAATCCTCTTAATCATCTCTTCCTTTCGCTACCTATTTAACCTCATTTTTTGATTTTTTTTTTCATGTTTTTTTTTGGCTCTTCCTTCTTGCTAGTCCATCGTCTTTTTTATCTTCGAACACAAGTTTCAGTCCCCCTCTTTTCTCAGTTTTACTACTTTTCTAAGGTCATGGCGTTTTTTTTTTTTTTGATAGGTTTCCTTACCTTCTTAACCTCAAAAAATTACTGTAGTGGTTCTTGTTCTTGTTGTTGTTTTCTTCTTTTCTTTCAATGTACATTTACTCATCTCATTCTTCGACCAACTTTTTTTTTTCTTTCAAAATCAATCCTTTAGTTCCATTTATCGATTTTTTTTGGTTGGTTTGTTGTAAGTTAAGATAATAGTTACACACATGAAATTTTTGATATCTTTCCAGCCATTTCAAATTTCGGTTCAGCATCAAGTAGTACGGCCTTCACTTACATACATGGGGCCAATGGAAGTAGCCCAGGGATCACGGCCGAAAAGATAGTCAGACTGTGTGCAGCGAGTTCCGGAGGCCGGAGTCCCAACCCAGAAGTTGCTTAACGACTTGTACAGCCACATCCGAGCATAGTTTTTGCAGTGTATAAATACGTGACGTTGACGTCTTGTGTTTCGTCGTACCAACCAATCAGCAATTGGTGCAAACATTGCCCAGCATCGATGATGACCAGATGAGCACTCTGCCAACCATATCACAACATCTAGCTCGGCGGCACATGTGACATCGGGGAGTGCAAGGTTATCAATCTCCTGGAAGCGGCGCCCAAGAGCAAATATGCACAGTGCACTGCTTCAGATGCCCGTCAAAATGAAATGTTATGCGAAACGGGACAGGCATACATGTTATGCTACGCAGATTGGGTAAGTGTTGTTTTCCTTTCTTCAATAGGGAAATGTTGCCCGGCTATCCCCGACTACTCTTGGCCCAGTTTGGTGCGATTGCACAATTTGCCACTCCCCAATTACTAAAATAACTTCAATTTCAAAGCAATGTTCCTGAAGTTACTGATACTCCTGGAGTTGCTCCGGTCTCTATCAACATTTGCTTTGCCTGTTCAACGCAACATTCGGCGTCCTATAGCTTGCTCCTCGCCATGCCAGATCACCACTACTTTAAGAAAGAGGGGCGTGGCCTCCGAGTTTGACAAAAGCAAAATTGTTGACTTGGCGGTGGACAGCGTTAGGAATGGTTCGTGATCATCAGAATATCTCTCTCCGGTCACTATGTCCTACAACTTACAAGTCGAACTGACTTCCACAAATTATTAATCCTACATCTTGACTCTTTTGATATTCATTATTAAGATCCAAATGAGGTTTCATCAAAAGAGGAAAAGCCTGCAAAGTCATTGGTACAAACCAGTCAAGTCCCAACAGTCATTTCAGCCAAAACAGGTAAGTTTCATATGAATCTGTTCTTTGCTTCTCAATCAAAATGCACTGGCTTGCTGACTTGAAATATAAAAATTTCCATGTTAGAAGTTCCAAGTAAGTGTGGAGAGACAGGTGAGTTTAATTTTCAAGAGTTTTCCAAGTATCCAAGATTGCCAGATAAAACTCCAAAAATTACTTGCCACTTACTAAAATGTGCTAGAACCAAACCACAAAATGGGCCATCTCTTTTATTTGCAATAATAACAAATTCCACAGGAGACAAAACCGTGGATTTGGAGATTCAACCAGAAGCTGGTGGATGTACTGCTACTACTCTGGTAGCCCCAAGACCGCAGTTTTTCGAAAGAAATGCGGGAACCTACAAAGGAGAGACCCAACAACCCAGGAAGCCTTACATGCCAAGGAATCCATCTCCCAAATCTACAGGAGAATCATCAAGATCTCAGGCCCCCCATGAAATAGACAGAAGATTGAAGGGCCCATATGCCCAAAAGAATATTCCTAGTCTTCCACTCAAGGCCTGGACTACCAATGAGTTAGTAAATCAAAGATATAGGCAGAGACATTCAATGGACTAATTATAAAAACTGTGTGCTACTGGTGTGGTAAAAGTTCTATCAATCAATTTGCAGCTAGGATGATCCTGACTGGAAGAGTTCAAAAGGATTGGCTTCTGGAAAAGAAAGAAAAAGCTAAAGAAAAACTGGCAGATTGTTGCTCTTGTGATTATTGTGGTAGAAGTGAAGGGCATGACAGGGCAGCGGCAGAAAGGGCACGACAAAAAGCTATGGATAGGGCGGAGTGGGATTATATGATGTACAACCTTGGCAAAGAATCCAATGAATGTTCAAGTCCACCATCCGGTTCTGTCCCACCACCAGCTCCGACGACCGAACAGAGCGACCCTTCCAGTCAGACCGAATGTTGCACAGATTGTTGTGGGCTCAACTCAAACAATGACTCATCGAGCTCAGATGGCTGCTGTGACTGCCTCCCCAGCTGTGATCAAGTAGGAGACACGTGCTCAAGCATTGGCGCCAGCATATCAGAGATCATGCCATCGGGAGACGATATCAGCAATGGTTTGTTATTTCCTTTCAAGATTTCTTTTGAACTCCTGGTGGATTGTGCACCATCTGCGGACCAAATCGGACAATGTTTAAGTTGCCCTCTCAGGGTGTTATGTTGCATATGTGAAAATTGTGATTTTGACTAGGTATAAAATATCCCTTCTGGTGACATTCCTCAAGACAAAGCTCTACCTTTTTCCTTCCATCTTAAACTGGGTTTTGTTTCCACTCTTCACCTCAACCAACTTTTACCTAAATCAACTGCTTTATCAGTTTTGCTCAACCAAGCAAAGTGTGACTTTCCAACAGAAGATCTTGCTGTTATTAAAACCATACTACATGTATAAATAAATAATTATTATCAACTAATTAGAAAAACACAAATTTCACATCAAAGAAATTCAATTTCAAGTCCATACCAACGCTGTCACAGATACAATACACTGTATGTATCATGGAGAATTCTGCAAATCTGCATGGCCAAAAACCAAATTTGTTGAATCTCCTTGCAAATAAAAGCAGATTGGTCAGATAGGTTTATCTATTGGGGCTCAGATACATAGTGATACATGGCAGATACATGGCAGATACCGTATCTGTGACAGCGTTGTCCATACCTTTATCATGTAATCATCTGTCCAGAATAAAGAATTCTAGCCTTACCCCAACTCCTAATTGTCTTGAAGTTTTGATATTCATAAGAAAATAACTACCTTACTGGATAGATGAATTTTTCCACTGTAGGGGGTTTCCCCAGAAGAGTTTTCATTCCAAAATTCCAATTTTAACCCAAAAAGCCACTGTGGATTTGAAGAATAGCATACCACACCTGGTGTACCTTTTATTCTTAGCTCATTCCAGAAGAACTTATGGATATTACCACTGGTGAAACATTGGAAGGAAAATTTGGGGTTTCAATTCCAGGGGAAGTTGGCTTAGATTAATTTTTTCTTCAAGCAAGCTATTCCAAAAATCAGGAATCATGAGAAACTTTGAGTCTGACCAAAATTAGTAAATTTTGCAATTCAAGATCTGAATTCACATCATCTACCCTGGCAACCTCCTATTTCACACAGATGTAGGAGTATGCTTTCAACTCTTGACTATTTGTTCAAGAGGGACCAATACAAGTCTCAAAATTGAGAAAGAGATCCTAGGAACTTGGTACATCATTCATTACCAGCACCAGAGAGAAAAGAAGTCTCATGAGTAAGACTACAAAAAAGATGAGAAGAAATGTAATAAAAGGAGAGGAAGCCTTATCTAAAACCAGAGAGGGGAAGAAACAGTACAGCAGGGGATTATTTAATACATGAAAGCCTTATGAAGTTGGTGAGAGGGATACGCTTCACAACAGACTTCAACAAAAATTTCACAACTACCAGCACTTAACACCCAAGTAGTCCACATTGATCAATTCTATTCAAAAACCCACAGCGAATTAGAATCAAGAAACCAAGCTTCTCAGAGCTTCTG